CCTCTCTGTATGATCAGTTGGTATCAGAATCCTTTCTAGTTCACTAAAGAAGTCACCTATGTTTGGGAAAAAAATAAGGATGTTGTGTGGGAACAGAATGAATAATCACTTTTTCCCCCCAGACCTTTTTCTAAGGCATTATTATAACAATTATATTTCTCATTTTCTCTTGCAGAAGGATATTAAATTTTGTCAGCCTTTATGTCATATATAAAAGAAGTAATACTTCATTTTCAAAGAACAGGATGGCTACAGTAATAATGCTAATAGATGCCAGTCTTTCATATGTCACCAGTTCAACCCTTATGGGAACTGACTAGACCTGAAAATTATCATCTGAAAGTGGTTTAATGCTCTTTGTGAAAATTACTAACACAATAAACTCTTCAACTCATCTGTCAGAGAAAAGTGAAAATAGAATGTGGCTGATTGAGTCTGAAAGCAAAAATCTTAGCCATTTGTTCTTAAGAATGCCCATAATCTTGAATGGAATATTAAAAGGTGTGTTATAAATGTGATCAAATTCTGACTTTGAATTTTTTATTTTATTTCTTGATGAGATTAAAGGTTTCACTTCTTTGTTATGGATCACATTCACTAATCTTTTATAGTTTTTGATAAGTGTAACACTTCCAATATTAATGTGCAGAAAGTGTCCTTCTCCATCATTTCTGACTTCTATCATCACAACTGAATATCAGTGATTTACAAAGCTAACTATTGCTTCTTTCCTCTGAAAAATGAGAAGGTTGTTAGTCCAGGCAAACATGACCAAACTTAGTCATCTATGTTTTGTGGGAAATTTCTTTCATTTGGAGCTTTCTTTGCACCAAGAAAACCATTTAGTCATGAGCTTTGAAATTCTTTCAACATAGCTCTCTCTCACCTTTTACCTAAAGAAATAGCATTCATGAAAGCCAACATATAAATCTGTATAACCTTGAATCAGAATTACTAGCACAACCTTTCTAAGACAAATAGAAAAGAGGAAAAAGATTTTTTTAATTAGATGTATTCTAGGCAGTGCTTTGGGGTCTTCAAAAATAATGGAAGATGGAAAGGAAGCTGAGAATTCAACCTTTTAGAACCATTAGCTTACTTTTAGAGATACAACTTGCATATAACAAAAAACTCAATATTTGCAAGAGATGTAATTTTTTAACTACTTAAAAGAAACATCAAAAATACAAATTATCTTGTCAATTCTATAACACTTGAAATGGCCGGATGGTAGTATGTTATCTATAACATACAGGATGAAGATTGTACTGAATTCAGTGTCCACTCCCATTTTCCCACCAAGAAGTTAGGTGGAAGGAAACAAATTAAGTGGAAGCAAACAACAGCATTGGGGAAAAGCAGTGAGCAACTCTGTTTAAATGAAATTACTATTACCCTGTTTCTCCAACAATACGGCCTCCCCCAATAGAAAGTCCCAGCATGTTTTATAGGCATGAAACGAAATTAAGCCCCTCCCCCTAAATTAAGGCCTATATTAAAACATGCAAAATGATGGGGAATGGTGGGGGGGGGCTTGCCATTAGGAAGTACTTTTGTTGCACACCCGGATATGGTGCTGCCTGCGTTGACCCCGATACGAAGTACCCCACCAACGCCGAGGTCAACATCCAAGCCGTCGCCGCCCGCCTGAAGATGCAAGGGGGTGGGGGGAATTAAGTCACCCCCGAAAAGACGGCCTAGCCATTTTTTCGGGGCTCAAAAAAAAATAAGACCCGGCCTTATTACATGAGAAACACGGTATTTGCAAGACTGGATGGTGGTGGTGGTGAGTTTGGAGAACAGAAGTTAGCAATATATGTACTCCAAGCACCCAATCTGTGACCTGCAAACTGAGGTTCCCTCAACCAGGTTCCTTCAGAAAACCATCTTAGTGTTTCTGTTGCTCTTTTGCTTGCCACTCTCCCCAAGAATTCATTCTAAATGAAGATATAGTCAGATTTTTAAAAATTTCTCACCTAAGTCTTTCTTACAAGAACAAAACATTTTCCATTAGCTGTGTTGTTGAACAGTAAAGTTATACTTTGCATCAATGAAACCATAGGCATTTTGCAAAAACTTGCAGTAATGATCTATGATTGGAAGATACTACTAGGAATTCTGGACAATAACAAAGACCACTGCACAATTCATTATAATTACAATATACCCTGTGCTCATCTAGGAAATCTTAATTGTATTCTTATCAAAATTGTATGAAAAAATAATTGAACTAACTTTCTATTGAGAATCTATTCCACAGAAGTGAAGTCTGAAATTAAGGATATGGTGAACGCACAATTACTGCAGACTGTTTTTCAAACATGCATTTTAACATTTAACAAGCTATTTTTAATGTAGCATGAGTTTAATAAGAACTAAACTATATTACTTTATAGACTTGCTTTTAAAAAGATATTATTTTTTGCTGAAGTTTATCCAGCCAAATGATGTTTACTCTGTGCCTAGTATACAAAAATGTTTTCCTTTCCAAACATACTTTTTACTTATGATTTTTGTAGAAAACACTTGCTTCTCTCACCATGAAAAGGTTAAGTAAACATTGTATGTAGTGATTCCTTTGTCTGACACAAATATGCTAATAAGGCATTATGGTCTCACAACCTGCTGGGACTGGATAGGTTGGTTTATTTTTCAAATCTTTTATCCTTGTATCCACTGTTTGCTCTTGTCCAGAGAAAAATCCAGGAACATGCAGACAACCTATACAGTTTTATGTAAGAATTCTGTTGTATATTGAATAATTTTACTATGACACTTTCTAAATGTTCTTAATTTTAATATTGTGAACTTTTAGAGTTTGGATTGTGGCCCATCTTTAACAAAATAGCTTGAATACAAGCTATTTTAATTCTGTAAGCATACTTAGGACTTAGAACCCTCAGTAAGAAACACACACCATAATTTTTCATTGTGTTCTTCACCATTAATCATTAAAAAGTTGCCACTAAATAATACTATCATCAGTTTGGGCCAACTGTAATCTTCAACACTGAAGATAGTCCAGAGATTAAATGTCCTCAGCTGTTCTTTCTTACATCCCTATTCAGATCATTTTATTGAATTGTATCTGGTAATAATTTCTGAACTGTGCAATGGACTTGGTAAGAATTCCACAATACAATACAATAATGATAGTGTGCAGGGATAATGCTTATTATGTGTTACTGATCATATATTTGCTCTCTCAAGGATTTCAGTATTTATTTTCTTCATTTCTAGCATTTGTCAAAAACCATTGATAATGTCACTATTTTGGTTCATTCTGCTCTTCAACATATTTCAATGTGAAATAAATGTGCATGTACTGAAACAGAATGTATGAAGAACTAATATTAAACATTGTGTCAAAGCTAATGAATAATATCAGATACCAGTGAGGTTGCTTATTTGGAGTTTTTCTCACAAATTAAAAAGGGCCATGGACCAAGAAAGCAACTGCACCCAAAAGAGGTTAAATGTAGCCATTTCCTAACAACCAGTTCCATGATTCTTATATGTACCAATACCTGTCATTTCTAACTACACCTTACTGCATGATGTCAGGTAAGCTATTCCGTTTTGCATATGCTTCTATTGTGACACAACTTTCTCTCACATCTGAATGCCAATGATGGCTTGGAAAATTCTATAAGGGAGCACTTGCTTCTTGACTTCTGGACCATTTAATGGATCATTACAAACTGTTGGGGGAGGATGTTATTGGGCCTTTTTTAACTGTTCATCTCGAGAAATTCAATGGCCTGTAAAAAAGAAAGAGAGAAATAAGATTTAATAGCCAAGCCATCCACTGTGGGAGGCCAAAAATCTAAAATGGCATTTGCAATAGTCTCTTTTTTTGTGCATTGCATTTGAGACACATGTTTAAAAATGACGTTTTGATCACATGGTTTCAGTTGCTTTCCCTACTTCTTTGAGTACATCCCACCTGCTCTCCTAACAGAAATCCCTTTTAAGGAGAGACATTATTAGAAATTTGTAACTTGTTCATTGTGGAAATGTAACCGATATACAAATAGATACTGTATATGTTTGCTTATTGGCCTGCCATCTTTCTAATTCTAGGCTAAAATAATGAAAATTTCTTCACCTGCTTATGGAGGTCTATGGAGATTCTCAGTCATGCAGGTCATGGTTGTCCCAAAGGTACTTTTTTCAAGAGGCAACTGGATTTTCTGGTTTTTCTTTGAAGATGTTTCACTTTTCATCCAAGAAACTTCTTAAGCTCTTCTCTTCAGCTCTGAAAAAGCTTCTTAGATAAGAAGCTAAACGTTTTCAAAGAAAACCCAGAAAGCCCAGTTGCCTCTTGAAAAAAGCACCTTTGGGACTGCTTATGGAGGATTGGCTTATTAGTTGCTTAAATCCAAAACAGGAATGTTAAAAATGTGTTTGTCATGTAACGCTTTTTTATATGAACTTATCCAATAAAAACCCATTTTTCAAACCAATATATATGAACTTGAAACCACTATAAGTAAAAACTCTGTCTCAGCAAATATATATTAAGGAGAAATTCATACACTGTAGACTGAAAATAATGCTTAATCTAAAAGTAACAATTTGCCCATTTCTCTATAAATAAACCAAACGTGCTTTATAAAATGCTTGACTTTACAGAGAAATTATCTGTGAATGATGCTTCAAGTTATCCAAAAGAGCATTTGCTGAATTCAGTTCAGTCTAGCTGATGAGCATGTGTCCTAATACATTATACATTTGCTGCAGGGCTTGGCTTCCCCAGAGAGTATTATGTCCAACACTGCTAAAACTTTTCAGAAGAGCCTACTACAATCTCTTCTTATATTACCAAGTCTTAATCCTCATGTAATAATTTACCTTTTCTGGATCATTTTAGTGGCCCACTTTATCAAATTTATATCATCTCATCTCGCAAAGTGAAGTAACACTGAGCTTACAATATAATAAAACATACAGAAATAAAAACCATTCTAAAACATAAAAACAGATTAAAATTACAAACTAAAAAGTGAAGTTATCTGAAATCCCTCAAAAGCAACCACTCATCTCTGAATCCTTAAATCCATCTTTATACAGATGGAGCTTATTAATAGCAGTAAGTATCTCTAAAATAACATGCCTGAACATTACTATGTCCAAATGTCAGAGTTTACAGAAATCACCCCTAGACATTCAGGATAGTAATGGACACCAACGCATGATATGCCCTTCAAAAGCTTTGAAAATCAATGCTTCCAAAGCACTCTCTCCAATAGTCTGAAATAGTGGAGGCAGCAGTATATCCATTAGTAAATAGTTCTTCTATAAAAGTATCATTTGTTCTTGTCTTGTGTTTAGGTATAATAAACAGCTGCCACTTTTAAAAGCTTTAAAAACACAAGCAACAAAATCAGCAAACCTGCTATGGGAGATCTGCAGAAAGTTCTTGACAAAGGAGAATATATTCCCTTGAAATCTGCTCCTGTGTTTGAAAGTAAATTTATTCAGGTAATTTATTTTTTGAAGTGCACTTGTTTAATTGGTAGAAAGATTTTCAATTACAGGGACTGAAAAAGTAAAAAAGATAGATGGAAAGGTTAGCCCACTACTTGTTCCCTCAGGCTTTTCCCTCCATACCAATATAGGACAGCAGGATTAAGTAGCTTTTATCAGAATTATTGTTTAACTTTCTTTCCTTTCTACCTTGAAACAAGAAATAACTAATTTCTTTTAAGAAACCACTTTGGATACTGAGAATTCAAATAATTCAATTCAATTTTACCAATTTGGAATAAAAATTTTTTATCTACCTTCAAGGCTAGTATTGTTCAATGCAAACAGATTTCTAAGTGGTTTTTCACAGATGTTTGCAATGTCCTTTTTAAAAAATAGGTTTTATGAATAGTTATATCGTTTTGCAGCATTTCCAATCGCTATTGAAGCACCATGTCCATTCCAAATTTAAAGTCCATTACTAAACCCCAGAACTTTTAAGCTGTGGATCCTCCTAGGGTTCTCTCCTGTCCCCTCTTCTTTTCATTCCTAGTATACAGCTGTTCAAGTCATCCAGGCATTGTATATATTAAATCAAAAGCACAACATACACAAAGGGTTTGTATTCTATGTAAAGCATATGAAATATTTTGTTTGCATATCCTAGTCTACAAGGCATGCATCCTTTGTTACTCACATCATACATACTATTGCTTGAATATGTAATAGTTGCCTTTTAACTTTTTTTTTAAGTCTGTAACAAAGAAAGCAGCAACACCCAGCATTACTATTCCTTTCTTTAACCCCCAAGGGAACTCTTAATGATGAATTGCGCCTCAGAATTTAATTTGGTTTGGTTTGATTTAGGCCACATTAACAACTTAATCCTGTCAAAACTTGAATTAAATTGAATTTCTCCAGTTAGCAGCTGATCAATTTAGGAAAGACATTAAAACTGCTGTATTATTCCTAATAGAAGATCTGAGTCATATCTTGGTGCTTGGTTTTCTCAGATCCTATACTTTGAATTCTTTTGCAGGAAATTGGACTAATTGGTTTAGATGTCCCTTTCAAACTGTCATGAGAAAAGGATTATGCAATGCTATGGGTTGAGGTCTCAAGAGACTACTATAGCATAGGGGACAAATTTCATTTTTTTTGCTATGAGCTCAGGGGAGGAAGGGAAGGACAGAAAGATGTTGAGCTAGCCAAGATCAGAAAATGTGCAATTCAGGTCACTAAAACTTGCTAAACAGAGTGATCAAGCTGTCAGAGAGTGAAACGCAATTGAAAAGCATTGCTAAACAAGCAAAAATTCCATAATTTGGTAATGCTCAGGGAATCTGGACATGAAATGAGGTTGTCACAACTGTTACTTCCAGCAGTGTGACTAGCCTGCAACAGGATCTTTTGCAATAGGCAACTGAGATACCACTGGACTAAACTGACGAGTGATATCCAGGGACAACTCTTAAGGACTCTTATTAATCTCAAAGAATAATTTCATAATTCAGGGTAACCCTGTACTTTTCAGCTCTTTGATCTTGGAGAAAGTTAGACGCTAAGGGATCAGTTCTGGCTGAAGACCTCAGGTTTGGTCTCCTGGCTTTCCATTGAAGCCTCCTCCTTCTCCTTCAAGGAAGAATACAAAATGTATTACCTTAAACTGGTGTGCCAATTATGGCCCTTCTTCATTAACCCTATGGTATAGATTTGCTTTGTCAATGGCAAATCTACACCATTTCTAAGACTGAAATAAAAATAGCTACTAATTAATTACTCTGATATATTATCCTCTACTTAGACTCAATTTCTAAGAGATACACATGACTGTTTATGTATAAAATTTAGAATCAATAAAACTCATGTAGCTATTCTAATGCTGCAGTGCTTTAACTTTAGCATTATACTGTATATATGCTCTTTGGAGTGATTATCAAAACATACTTTTAATGTGTTTTAGTAAATACCCTAAGTTCTAATTCAATCAAAAGTAAGTTGTCAGTTGTATAATGTTATCCAGGAATTAAATGTACTCTTCAGCTCAACCCAACAAATGGACCTTGGTATAAGTATTTAATTACCGCAACTCTCTTCATGTACTGTACTTTAACACTTGTTTATAGCTCTTCATCATTTCATATGCTAATTCTTTTTTGATGAGCCATTGAGGTGAATTCATCTTGTGGTGACTATATGAGTAACTGTTTATCATCTTGATAAATTTTTGTAATAACATAGTTTTTCCAAGAATGTATCTATTTTGAGTTCATTCATATACTGTAACCATTATTGTCATCTTTTACTTCCCCCTGATTTGCTATAATTCTTTTTTCTTAATTTCATCATTCACTCACGCGCCAGAATTATGTTAGTTTCTGGTAACTGCACTTTTTATTATGCTTGGAACAAACTTTTTTTTTTCAGGTAAATAGGAAAGGTGGATCAATTTACCTTCATAATCGTCCCAACTATGTGACTGTGGGCATATGTGCCTCTAGCACAAAACTGTCAATGCCAAATGTAATGCTGCTTGCCAATTCATCTCCCTATTCCTCCAAAGAAGACCTTTCAGCCTACCCACCATCTACCCAGCCCTCACACTCCAAAGAAGAACTGGTACTCACCAGGTGAGTTAACTACTGAACTAAACTACTAAACTATTTTTAAAAAATACTCAAGTATATAGTTATTTACCGTAAGTTGATTGGGAGAAACAGGACAAATTTTATCCACTATTCCCATTTTCTCTTATGTAAGAACTTTTTCCATACACAAGATTAATTTCCTTTTGTAATTACTCTTAACATCAAAAATCCATTTATTATCCCTTATAAATCCATTTATAGCTCATAAATTACTTTCAGTTCTTGCTGAAGATTGCCCAGCTGATGCCAGTGATGCCACTGATAAAATGAAAGTGTGTGATTGATGTGTGATATAATATATATATATATATATATATATATATATATATA